TCTCAATCAGTTCGTCATGCATGCCACTGATATGAGGCCTTCCGATAGGATGATGCATTTCTCTCTCTCTCTCTCTCTCTCTTTTTCTCTCTCTCTCTCTCTTTCTCTTTCTCTCTCTCTCTCTCTTTTTCTCTCTCTCTCTCTCTCTTTCTCTCTCTCTCTCTCTCTCTTTCTCTCTCTCTCTCTCTCTCTCTCTTTTTCTCTCTCTCTTTCTCTTTCTCTCTCTTTTTCTGCACCTGTTTTTTTCTTTCTTTCTTTCTTTATTTTCTTTTTATTTCTATTCTTCTCTTACTGTCTCTCTCTCTCTCTCTCTCTCTCTCTCCTCTTATTTTTATGTTGTGTTCATTTCCCCACTTAGGTCCACCATTGATGTGTTCAACCCCAAGCCAGTTCAACCGAAACATGTCTATCATTCTTTGGTCGACCTACTCAACCAGGTGATGATGATGATGGTTGTTGTGATGATGATGATTGTGATGAAGATGATAGTAATTCATTATTTCATTCATTTTATCAATCATTCGTTCTGTCTTTCGTTCATTCATTCATTTAATTTTTTTTTTCAAACGATCGTTTCAGATTTCTCCATTGTTTAAGAAAAATTTCCAACTCTTGCTAAAGAAGAGGTCATCATTTTATTATCATCTATTCGTCGTCATCATCATCATCAGCAACATCACCATCATCAACATCGTTATCATCATCTTCATCAACAACATCGTTATCATCATCATCATCAACAACTACAACAACAACATCGTTATTATAACCCAGGCAGCAGAAACACCCCTTCGAGCGAGTGGCCACGCCCTACCAGCTCTACAACTGGATGGCCCCGGTCTCTGAACACGTCTTCGATTACATCAGATCAGAAGATGGTCAGTTAGGTGTCATTTCATCTGGCTACTATCGTCTCGATCGTCATCATTTCCGCCGTCTACGTCATCATCATCATCTCTATCATCATCATTATTATCATCATCGTCATCATTATTATCATCATCATCCCCATCATCATCATCATCACCAGCCTTTTCATCCCGTCTGGGTTACGAGGAGCACATCCCTGGCCAGACACGTGACTGGAATGAAGAGCTGCAGACGACCAGGGAACTGCCCCGGAAACACCTGCCGGAGAGATTGATCCGGGAGAGAACTATATTCAAAGTAAGGGGGATGATGAGGAAGAGGAAAAGTGTGAATGGCGATTGGTTCATTCCTTCACACGTTCATGCCTTACTCCTACACTCACTCGTTTATTTGTTCGGTCACTCACTCATTCAATCATTCATTCAATCATTCATTCATTCAATCATTCATTCACTCGTTCATTCATTCATTCATTCATTCATTCATTCATTCAATCGTATCCGCAGGTGCACAGCGATTTTGTGGTAGCAGCGACCAGAGGAGCCATGCTAGTCATCGATGGAAACATCATGGCCATCAATCCAGGTGAAGATACAAAGTTAGTTTGGCTTATTCATTCATTCGTTCCTTCTTCCATTTATTCATTCGTTCGTTCATTCATTCATATATTCATTCATCCATTCATTCATTCATTCATTCACTCCTTCCTTCATTCATGCACCAGGATGCAGATGTTCCTCTGGAACAACATCTTTCTCAGTCTCGGCTTTGACGTCAAAGACCATTTCAAAGAGTTTGGCGGCGATTTTGCCGCTTATGCCGCTCCTGTAAGCCACCATCATCACCACCACCATCATCATTACCACCACCATCATCACCACCACCATCATCATCGCCATCATCACCATTGTCACCAACATCATTATCATCGTCATCATCATCATCATTATCGTCGTTATGATAACCATCGTCACCGTCATCATCGTCACCCTCATCATCATTATCATCATCGATAGGGCTGTGACCTGCAAGGGGTAAAGGCTTATACGAGCGCCGACATCGAGGGCTTGTACACTCTGGGCACTGTGGTCATTGATTACCGGGGCTATAGAGTCACTGCCCAGTCTATAATTCCTGGTTGGTTGGTTGATTGGTTTGTTGGATGGATGGATGGTTGGTTGGCTGGTTGTTTGATTGGTTGGTTGGTCGATTGGCTGGCAGGCATCTTGGAGAAGGAGCAGGAGCAGTCAGTGGTCTATGGCTCCATTGACTTTGGCAAGACAATCGTCACACACGACAGCTACAAAGAATTGGTTGGTTAAGATAATGATTGTTGGCGTTAATGACGATGATGATGATGATTATGATCATAGTAATAGTAATATTGATGATGTTGAGGATGATCCTGATGATGATGATGATGATGAGGTTGATCCTGATGATGATGATGTTAGTGAAAAAAAAATTTCAGATGAAGAAGGCGGCACAATCATTCAAGATAAGACCACACAAGTAGGCTAATTATTATATTTATTTTTATCATTATGGTAAACTATTATTATTGTTTATGATTTTCATTCTTATTGTAAATTATTATTATTATTATTATTATTATTGTTTATTATTATTATTATTACTGTTATTATTATTCTTCAGGGTTCTAAACAGCAAGGATGAAGAGATTGAGTTGTACTCGTCGGTGGAATGCAAGGTAATCATCATCATCATCATCATCATCATCGTTATCGTTAATGACGTCATCATATTGACCTTAATACGTCACAATCACCATCATCATCATCAGGGCATCATAGGGAATGACAACAGGCATTACGTCCTTGACCTCTTAAGGACATTTCCTCCAGACGTCCACTTCTTGCCCGGTGCGTCGTCATGATGATGATGATGGTGACAATGATGATGATGATGGTGGTAGTGGTGACGATGGTGTTGATGATGATGATGGTGGTGATGGTGACGAAGATGATGATGGTGGTGAAGATGGTGATAATGATGCCTTTTCGAAATTATTTTTGTCACTTTATCACTATCATCATCATCATTGCCGTAATCATCATCATCAACATCACCACAGTCGACCCTGACCTTTTGAGCCAGCCAATGAAGGAGCTGGGATTTCCTAGAAAACATCGACACAAACTGGCCTGTCTTAGACAGGAGCTAGTCGATGCGTTTGTCGAGTGAGTGAGATGATGATGATGATGGTGTGGTGATGATGATGATGATGATGTGGTGGTGATGATGACGACGATGATGATGATGAAGATGATGATAAAGTTTGGACAGATTATATACCAACAATATCCTAAGACCGACATGAAAATGGTGATTGTAATGATGATGAGTGCTGTCCTGATGATGACGTCATTGTGTCATTTTCACCAGCTCATCGTCATCATCATCACCATCGTCATCACCATCATCATCGTCATCATCATCACCATCGTCATCACCATCATCATCGTCATCACCATCATCATCATCATCGTCATCACCATCATCATCATCATCGTCATCATCATCGTCATCATCATCGTCATCATCATCGTCATCACCATCATCACCATCATCATCATCATCACCATCATCATCGTCATCATCATCGTCATCATCATCGTCATCATCATCGTCATCATCATCGTCATCATCATCGTCATCATCATCATCATCACACCAGGAATAAGTACTTGATGTTCGTCAGGAGTGCAGCTGGTCAGTTCCAAGCCCTCAAGTACAAGAAGATGCAAGAGGTTAGAGGTCAAGTTGAGTTGAGGGTTTTCATTGGTTAATGGCTTTCGTTCGTTCATTCATTCATTCATTCATTCATTCATTCATTCATTCATTCAGTCAGTCAGTCAGTCAGTCAGTCAGTCAGTCAGTTATTCATTTATTCAGTCGTTCATTCATTCAGTCATCCATTCATTCATTCAGTCATTAATCCATCTTTCAATCTCACAGCAAACACAGCAAAAAGACAACAGTAGCAGCAACAACAACAACAACGCCCCATCAGCTGCAACAGCAATAGACGAAAATCTAGTCAAAACGCTAACAGACGTGGCTGGCGAGCTGTCAGCCGCTGCCACAGCCGCTTCAGCAGCTGCTAAAATGAGCAGCTTGGCCGAAGCTATTTACGCTGCTAGTTTGGAAAGTCCCGAATCTATACGAGTTGAAAGTTCAAATAATAATGACGTTGGCTGTGACGATAGAGATAGTCTTTCTACTTCTACTTCTTCTTCTACTACTACTACTGCTGCTGCTGCTGCTGCTGCTGCTACTAACGATACTACTATTACCAGCACGACTACCACCATATTTAATGATACCTCTACCACAGATGCTAGCGACGATACTGCTGCTATGACTGATACTCCGAAGAATGATACAAACACTAACAACAACAACATTGTGGAAGGCAGTGGGGATGTCCTTTGTAGTAGTGATACTACATCAACTGCAGCAACAACTACTGCTGCCGCTAGTAGTAAAGTTTGTTGCAGCGATAGCAGTGGCGACAATGGCGTAGTAGTAAACGGTAGTAGTAACAACTGTGGCGGCGGCGGTGGTGACGATGGTAGCTGCGACCACACGAAGGAAATTGTTGTGAAGGCTGCCAAATTGATTGGCTCTCTTAATGATAACGAGTTTACTGTCCTCTTTAACACTGACCTCTTCCAAGAACATGTAAGACACCCTGACGAAAATGTGAGTAGGCTGACGATGATGATGATGATGGTGTCGTGGTGGTGGTGATGATGATGATGGTTTTGTGGTTATGATGATGATGGTTTTGTGGTGGTGGTGATGATGGGGATGATGAGTTTACAGTTCTCTTTAATTGGGGTTTTCATTAAGTAGGAAAAATAAAGAAAAATTTCTGAAAAATATTTTTGTTGTTGGATCAGAGTGAGGATAAAAGGAGAGAGAAACAGCTGATAATCGATGCCTGTGCCTTCGTTGTGTCCGACCAAATTCCTGCTTTTGTGAGTTGTGTGACAGATTGATTAATCTCTTCATGATTAATCTAGTTTATGCTAATTAGATAACTCCAAAAATACTCATTTACTAATCTGATAGACAGCCCTCAAGTACTCATTAATATTAATTTATGCAAATCAGATAGCTGAATGTTTGGAGCATGCTTCATCGCCTATTGATCATTTTACGCTAACTGAAGCTTTGCACAATCGGTTCGTTGGCTAATTGTTCAATTAACTAATTAATTAATCAGTTGATCAATCATTTAATTAATATTATAATATGTTAATTCAGCGCTCATTAATATTCATATTTTTGATGATTATCTTTTTAAATTTTTAACTTCGAAACATTTAAATTTATTCATATTTCTTACATTACTTAATTGACATGCAAATTTATTATACATATATATACCTAATAAATATGCACATTTACCATAATTATCTGTGGTTAATATGCAAATTTATTCACTTGTTAAGTGGAATAAACATGAGATACATCGGTGTTGTGGCCAATGAGGTTGCTTCTAAGCCACAGCTCTCTTATCTCTACGTCAGTTTCGATGTTGATGATGATGATGATGATGTCGTATTCATTCGTTTTTTGTCGTTCATTCATTCACTATTCAACTGTTAAACCAGCTTATCAATCCAGCAGTTTATCAGGTCAACCAATCAATCAATCAACCAATTAATCACCCAATCAATTAACCAATTAATCACCTAATCAATCAACCAATCAATCAATAAACCAGCCAACCAACCAATCAACAAACCAATCAATAAATCAATCGATCAACCATCTAATCAATTAATCAATCAATAAACCAACCAACCAATCAACAAACCAATCAATAAACCAGCCAACCAACTAATCAACCAATCACTCAACCAATCAATCAATCAACCAATCACCTCCCCGAACAGTCAATCATCATCCTTAGCATCCTAACTCGTTCAGCGAAGCACCTGTACAAGACGTACATGCAAGGCGTCGATACGATGAACCTGTCGTCGGCCATCAGTCACTTCCTCAACTGCTACCTAGGATCTTTCAACAATTTGACGCCACACGTAGCTACTGAAGAGGTTTGTGTGTGTGTGTGTGTTTGTATGTGTGTTTGTGTGTGTTTGTTTGTGTTTGGGTTTGTTCGTGTGTGTGTGTGTTTGTTTGTTTGTTTGTGTGTGTTTGTATGTTTGTTTGTGTGTGGGTGTGTGTGTTTGTATGTGTGTGTATTTGTTTGTGTGTGTGTGTGTTTGTATGTTTGTGTGTGTGTATTTGTTTGTTTTGTGTGTATGTGTATTTGTGTGTGTGTGTGTAGGTGCGTGTGTACGCTTCTTTTCATTATGAATTTTAGAAGCCTAAGAAGAAGAACCGGAGGAAGAACAAAGGAATCTTTGCACTCATTGGAGGTCGGTCTGAGATCTCGCTCTTTTTCATTTTATTCTCCCTCTTTGTATTTGAAAATTCTAGCTTCATTTTCTTATGAGTTTCTGTGTTTCTGTTGTATCTTGTTCTCTCTTGTTCTCTCTTGTTCTCTCTCTCTCTCTCTTCTCTCTCTCTCTCTCTCTTTCTCCCTTTCTTCTTTCTCTCTCCCTCCCTTTCTGCTTTCATTCTTATTTCACGTTATGAATATTAATTAATAAGCACGTGAATATTAATAAGTTTATGGATATTAATTAGCCGATAGCTACGAGTGGTCCAATGAGAGTCCACGATCCATGTGGAAGAAGATAGTCGACGAATCAGCTGACTACTACCATTTCCAGATAGACTGGTTGGTCGATTGTGTGATCGATTGATTGATTGGCTGGCTGGTTGATTGATGGTTTGGTTGGCTGATTGGCTGGTTGCAACATACATACCGACACGTACGTACATACATACATACAAACAAATTTACATTCACTTATACATTCATGTATAGTACACACACACACACACACACAAACACAGACACACACGCACACAAACAAACGCAAACAAACTCAGACAGGCACAGACGCACACACAAACACACACAAACAGTGATTCTTTGGACTCTGCCTGCGAGAAATACGACATACAAAAAGTTTCCCTGCTGAGGTCATTTTGTAAGTGCGTCGGCATACAGCTGCTACTGAGGGAGTATGTACTGGATAGCAAAAACAAACAGGTATTATATGTGTGTGTGTGTCTTTCTGTCTGTCTGTGTATGTGTTTGTCTGTCTGTGTCTGTCTGTGTTTGTGTGTGTGTGTGTGTGTGTGTTGGAGTTTTTGTGTGTGCTTTTTCCAAAATGTAATATTCAATTCCTAAAGGCTTTCCACAGTGAGGATGTGCTTAATGTGTTCCCGATTGTCAAGCATATCCATCCCAAGGTAGATTGATTGACTTATTGGTTGGTTGATTGATTGATTTGATTGGTTGGTTGATTTGATTGATTGGTTGGTTTGTTGTTTGGTTGGCTGGTTGACTGGTTGGTTGGTTGGTTGATTGGTTGGTTGGTTGGTTGGTTGGTTGATTGATTGATTGATTGATTGATTGGTGACCTCGAAATAAAGGCAACAGATGCATACCACGTGTTCACGTCCGGCCAGGCTAAAATACAACAGGGCCTACTGCAAGAAGGTTGCCTGTTATTAAAAATTTTCATCGTGTCATCATCGTCATCTTAATCATCATCATCATCGTCGTCGTCGTATTCATCATCATCATCGTGATCATCATCATCATCATCATCACTGGCAGGGTATGAGTTGGTGGTGGAGGCACTGAACCTACTGAACAACGTGTATGGAGCCATGCATTATGAGATCGCCTCGTGTGCCAGGCTCCTAGCCAGACTGAGCTATATCATGGTGGACTATGGAGAGGTCAGTGAAGGGGTCAGGGTCATTGCCGGTGGTCACGGTCATTTTTTTTAATCTAATCAATATTCATGAGTCACCTAATTAATATTCATGAGTTACCTAATTAATATTCATGTTTTTTTTCTCCCCTGTCGACCAAAAGGCGTTGGTGTACCAGCAGAGGGCGGTGCTCATGAGCGAGAGAGTCCTTGGCATTGATCATCCAAGCACCATTACTGAATACGTTAGTTGATTGGTTGGGTGGCTGGCTGATTGATCGTTTGATTGGTTGGTTATTTATTTCTTCACGTTCAAATCGACCAATCAAAATCCACCAAACATTCAAATTGGCCAATCAAAATCCACCAAACAATCAAATCGACCAATGACAATTCAAGGCCCATCTGGCGCTCTACTGTTTTGCCAACAATCAAATACCAATCGCGCTGAAGCTTATGTACAGGGCGCTATATTTAGCTCTTCTCTGCACTGGGGAAAACCATCCTGAAATAGCCCTGTTCTACGTAAGTGGGTTTTTCCATTTCTATTTATAGGAATATTAATATTAATGAAATATTTATAACATGAATAATTATAATGAGGATAATCACATCAATTCCAACTAATCAATCGCAACTATTTAGTTAATGAATCGTTAATTGATTAATTAGTTAATTAATGATTAATTTCTTACAGTGCAACATAGGGCTGATGGTTCAGGCTGAGTCTGATTTCGACCTCTCTCTTAAGTACCTGACGAAAGCTCTAGAACTCAATTCTAAGTATGTGTGTGTGTGTATGTGTGTGTGTGTGTTTGTTTGCGTGTGTGTGTGTATGTGTGGTTCGTTGATTTGTTTGTTTTTATGTTTACTCAACTGTGTGTGTGTGTGTTCCTGTGTTTGGTTGATTGATTGGTTTGTTTCTTTGATTGATTGAATGAATGAATTAATCAGTCAAACATTCATTCATTCGTTCGTTCATTTGATTGAACGTTGAATGAATGAATCAAACATTCATTCATTCATTCATTCGTTCATTCATTCATTTATTCATTCATTCATTCATTCATTCATTCATTCATCCAATTCATCCACCCTATTTAGATTCTTCGGGCCGAAAAGTTTGAAATGCGCACTGAACTACCACCTTATTGCACGGACTTACTTGTGCAAAGGTGACTTTAGGAGTGCTCTTCACAGCGAGAAAGAATCTTACTCTATCTATAAATTGCTGGTTCGTATCTGTTTGTTTCTTTCTCTCTTTCTCTCTTTCTCTCTCTCTCTCTCTCTCTCTCTCTCTCTCTCTCTCTCTCTCTCTCTCTGTGTGCGTGTGCGTTTATCTGTTTGTTTGTATGTGTTTGTAGGTTTGTGTATGTTTGTATTTGAAACTTTTTCAAGTTAATGTATATAAATGTGTGTCTGCATGATGTATGATGATATTTTTTACGTTCGTCATTTTTACACACCTACACATGTATATATACACGTATAAACTCATACACACACGCACGCACACACACACACACACAAACACACACACACAGCTCGGCGAATCACACGAACGAACGCACGAAAGTTCGGAGTGTTTGAAGCACCTGACGAACCAGGCCGTGAAGTTCCAGAAGACGGTGAACATGCTACAGAAAGGTGAAAAGATAACGAACATGCCTTCCTTGCAGGTTTGTTATAACCGGTTTTCTGCTGTTTGTTTGTTCGTTTTAACGAGGTGAATGTCTGTACGGTTATAGCGAGGTGAATGTCTTTTCGTTATAGCGAGGTGAATGTCTGTTCGTGTGTGAAAAGGTGAACGTTTGTTCGTTGTAACGGGGTGAATATTTGTTTGTTATAGCGAGGTGAATGTCTGTTCGTGTGTGAAAAGGTGAACGTTTGTTCGTTGTAACGGGGTGAATATTTGATTGTTATAGCGAGGTGAATGTTTGTTCGTTTTGACGAGGATCTTGTTGGCTGCAATGATATTGTTGTCGAAACGAGATTTTTTCTTGTGTTATTGTACTATAAATTATTACTACTATTGCTAATATGATATTTCTTCTACTGATACTTCTAGCGCTGATACTATCTTTATTACTTCTGCTGCTCCTGCTACTACTACAGCTGCTACTACTACTGCAGCTGCTGCTACTACAGTTGCTACTGCTACAGCTGCTGCTTTTACAGCTGCTACTAGCTGCTGCTGCTTTTACAGCTGCTACTAGCTGCTGCTACTACAGCTGCTGCTACTACTACTACTACTACAGATACAAGTACCAACACTGGGTAACATCCTTGAGACTCTAAACCTCATCAATGGCATCGTCTTTGTCCACATTGGGTTGTTTTCATTGTTTCTTATCATAATTATTATTATTTATATTATAATTATTTATTTATTTATTTATTATTATTTATTTATTTGTATTATTATTTATTTATTTTTATTATTTATTATTTTTATAGCCCGGAAGATATAGAGAAGTTCCGAGATGAAATGCTGAAACAACAGATTGTCCAAAAATTAAGATCGTCATCAGAAGTCGCTGCAACTACCACAACTACTGATAATAATAATAATAATAATAATGATAATAAGAAAAAGAAGATGAATGATAATAATAATAATAATAATGATAATAACAAGGGTAATAATAGTGATAATAACAATAACGGTCTTGATGTTAAAGAACATGAGAAGCCAATAGGAAGCGCCGTTAAAAACACAAGTTTAGCAGAAGCCATACCATTGGATTAGAATTTAAAATGTGAATTTTTGAAGTTTTTTTTTTTTTTTTTGAGAAAAAAATTTTTTTTTCTAAATTTTTTATTGCTAGACGATAAGTTATATATAATTAATGTCTTTGGTATTTTGTATGTTACGTCATAACATTAATAATAATAATGATTAAATATAATTATTATTAACGGTTATAACTGTTATTATTAATGTTATTATTATTATTATTGTTGTTGTTAATGTTTAGCTTATTATTATTATTGTTATTATTATTATTGTTAATTTATACACAGACTGATCAAAAACGGATCTATATAAATATATATATATATATATAATTTAATATAATGTAGAACATATATAATAGTATTCATATAAAAGTCTTGTTTCTCTCTCTCTCTCTCTCTCTCTCTCTCTCTCTCTCTCTCTCTTTCTCTCTCTCTTCCTCTATGTATATATATATATATACTCTTGTGAAATTTGTACATGTATGTATGTTGTTTTTGAAGGAAGGTTTTGACAAATGAGATGCTATTACAAGGTTAAATAAACTATACAATAATATTGTTATTTATTATTATTGTCATTTATTATTATTATTTATTATTATCATAATTATTATTTTGTTATTAATGTTTTTTTTTCTACTTTAAAAATATATCTCAATATAATACAATAATTAAAATGCGTGAGTTGTTTTATGCGGGCGAAAATAAAATTATTTATAAAAATAATAATAAAATAATAACGATAATTATAACATAATAATATTAATTATAATTCATTTTTGTTAGTTATATTATTCTATGTAGTTTTGATTAATCCGGCAAAATTAAAATAAATCGTAGAATAAATAGATCTGTCGAATTACCGAACGAAAAATTGTATATGCTTTTATCTGTGTGTGTATCCGTGCGAATCTGTGTGTATTCGTGTGTGTGTGTATTTGTGTGTGTGTGTATCTCTGTGTGTGTGAGTTTGTGTGTGTGTGACCTAGATGATTCCGAAAAACTAAAAAAATAGCAATTATCAAGATAAAGATTTATATAAAAAAAACACATTTTAAAATTTTTTGGCAAGATTTTTAAAATCAAACTTGAAAACACATACATACGCAGACACACACACACACACACATATATATATATATATATACAGTATTGTCTATAATGGTCTCCTTCAAACATATATAATTTATATATTATATATATATATAATAAAAAAAAAATTATATATATATATACAAATACATAACCTAAATATATCATTTTGACTTCAACAACAACAACAAAAGCAACTAAACAGCGTAGCATTGCTTGCTATTTGAAAAAAGTTTGTGTGAGTTTATATGTGTATTTGTGTGTGTTTGTACGTGTGTGTGCGTGTGTATGTGTGTGTGTGAGAGAGCATAAAAGAATGAAGGAATGAATGAATGAATACACAAAATGCGCATATTGAAAATGCCTGCTTACAAAATTCTATCAATATATGTGTTTGTATGTGTATATATGTGTGTATGTGGATGCGCATTTGTGTGTGTATGTGTGTTTGTGGTTGTGTGTGTGTGTAAACGTTTTTACACAAAGTCGTACATTCTTTCACTCATTATTGCAAAACAACATTCGCTATTTTAAGCTGCAGTGAACTTTATAAAGGGTTGAGAGAAGGAAGATGACGACGAAGATGATGGTGATCGAGATGGTGATAATGATAATAATGGCGATAGTTATGATTATTGAAATGAAGAAAATGATAAAGATGATGATGATGACGGTGATATGAAGCTCACTCATTGAGAATGTATAAAATTTGTTGCTTCTACGTGCAGTGCACACTCATTGTACATCCATCTATCCATACAAACACTTAGACTCACACACGTGCATGTGTTCTGCGTGTTCTGGCTTCTCATTTTCATTGCGTGCTCTCCAGTTTAGGGAATTAAGTTTTGCCTACTTTGTTTAAGATTATTTCACATTTTTTATCAGTGTTTTCGTTGCTTATACGCTCTATTCATTACTAAACCGGCCATTTGTGGATAATTTTGAAAGATCTTTTGATATATTCTCGAGTTAATATTACTTGAATAGTTTTCAAACAACTGTCTATCTTCATAACAATAGGAAATTTTCAGTTGAACAATTTTCGGAACGTTTTAGCACAAAATCAAAAAGAGTTACAGGAGAATTGAACCCGGGATCTTCGTCAAGCAACACTAAATCATGTCGGAAGTCGTTCAAACTGCGCCACCGGCTACAACCACACCTGCCACTGCTTCAAACGGCACCACAACAGCGGCCTCATCAGGTTCCTCGTCAAACAAATTAGCCCAAGAAATCTACGACGAGTTTCTTGTCTGTAAAATCTGTCTAGACGGCTACAAAAACCCGAAATGTCTAGACTGTCTGCATACATTTTGCGAGACATGCATCGAGACGCACGTTAATTCAGAGCCGGCCTACAAAAAATACAGCGACTATAGAGAATTTACTTGCCCACTTTGCCGAAAACGAACCCAACTGCCTGTAGGGGGTGTCAAAAAGCTCCCTGACAATTTTTTGGTGTCCAGTTTGACGGAAGTAGTGGGTAGGCAGAAACCCTCGGCCAATCCATTCTGTGATATTTGCAAGTTAGTGACGAAAACTGAAAAGGACGCTACTAGCAAGTGTCTGGATTGTTCGAAGTTGCTATGCGCTGGCTGTGTGGCACTGCATAAAAATACGAAGGTTTGCCGATGTTTTGGATTTCTAATAATTATAATTAATTATTAATAATTGTTATTAATTATTATTGTGGCATTAATTATTATGTTAATTACGTTAATATTGGTTGGTTGTTTTCTAGCCATATTTTCAAATTGAAAAATGCATTCGCTGAAGATTTATCTACCAACCATTTCGTGTTTGTATTGCTATATCATTTATCCATTGATCCATTAATTGTTGATCCAGTCATTCATCCATCCATTCATCCATTCATTCATTCATCCATTCATTCATCCATTCATTCATCCATTTATTTATCCATTCATTTATCCATTCATTCATTCATCCATTCATATATTAACTCATCTCTCTATCCTAATAGGTAACCAGCAACCATTCATTATTTGATGTGGAAATTGAGAAAGAAATTGGATGCAAGGACCACCAGGTAAATGGGATATGACGGCGCTGGTGTAATGGTTAAGGAGCCTGGCACTGATGTTGAAGTGACCGGGTTTGAATGCTAAGAAATCCCCCCGTCTATCGCATGCGTGCGTGTGTGTGCGTGTGTATGTGTGCGTGTGTATGTGTGCGTGTGTATGTGTATGTGTGTGTGTGTGTGTGTGTGTGTGTGTGTGTGTGTGTGTGTGTGTGTGTGACGCTGTGTTGATCACATTCAGTCATAATATGTGCTATGTATATGTGTTGTTGTTGTTGTCGTTATCATCTATAATTAATCATAATTTCATCTATAACTAAATTAATTATTACAATTAATCACAATGTCAACTATAATTAACTTAATTATTACCATTAATCACAATTTCAACCATAACTAACTTAATTATTACAATTAATCACAATTAATTTCAACCATAACTAACTTGATTATTATAATTAATCGTAATTAAACACAATTATAAATAATAACCGTAATTAATCATAACATCATAAGGACGAAGTGATAAGATTTTACTGTGAGCCGTGCGAATCTTGTGTTTGTATCCTATGCACATTCAACGAACATAGGGATCATGCCATCAGTCAGTTCCAAGACGTCGCCGTCAAGTATAAGGCCAACATTGAGAGCCTATTGGCGCACTGCAAACAGAAAATTACCATTTTCGAAACCAGTTTGGAGGCCATTAATAAGTTTGTTGGTTGAGTTGTTGGTTGGTTGGTTGGTTTGCTGGTTGGTTGGTTTGCTGGTTGGTTGGTTTGCTGGTTGGTTGAGTGGTTGGTTGGTTGGATGGTTGGTTGGTTGGTTGATTGGTTGGCTGATTGGTTAGAGGGTTGGATGGTTGGTTGGTTTGCTGGTTGGTTGGTTGGTTGGTTTGCTGGTTGGTTGGCTGGTTGGTTTGCTGGTTGGTTGGTTGGTTAGTTGGATGGTTGGTTGGTTGGATGGTTGGTTGAGTGGTTGGTTGATTGATTGATTGATTAGTAATTTGGTTGAACGATTAACTCCAACTTATACTCTATTGGCCAGATGTGAGTCAACAATCAAGCAGGTGGAACAAAAGATTAGAGATAAATCAATTGAATATATACAGGAAATAAGGAACAAAGTTGGTTGACTGGCTGTTTGGTTGAGAGACTGACTGACTGACTGAATGAATGAATGGAGGAAGGAATAAACAAATAATTATTGATTAATTGATTGATTGATTGAATAATTAATTGAATGAATGATTAATTGATTGATTGAATAATTATTTAAATGAATGAATGATTGGTTGATCAGGAAAAACAGTTATTAGAAGAATTGCACCAGATATACGGACAGGAATGCTTTGAATGTATCGACTCAAAGAAAGAATTGGTTCATCAAGTTGGTGTCCATTCATTCATTCATTCGTTCATTCGTTCGTTCGTTCATTCATTCATTCATTCGTTCGTTCGTTCATTCATTCATTCGTTCGTTCGTTCGTTCGTTTATTCATTCATTCATTCACTCCTTCACTCTTTCACTGAAGGTAGAGAACATACGGAACACGTGTAACATTAGTGAGGTCATCTTGCTGGGGAAGGAAATTGAACTGCTCCTACTGAAGAAAGACGTTGAAGACAAGCTGAACCTCATGAACCAGATCGACCACAAGCAACTTCCAGCAAATATCTCCAAACTCGTGGACTTTCAGACAGGTTGTGATAATGATGACGACGATGATGATGATGATGACGAAGATGATGACGTTAATATTAATGACAATAATAATATAAATAATAATAATAATAATAACAACAGGAGTGGTGGATCTGGGCTATCTTCTGCACGATGGTTCAAAAGCAGCTGGCTCAAAGTGTTTCGTCAAATTGCGCGGGAAAAAATCCCAAACCGGAAATACGCCATCATCAACGTCATCGTCATCTTCTAGATGGATGGCTGTTAGCGTTGAGGGGAAGGAGGAGTTGAAAGAAGGTTGTTTTGATGATGATGTTGACGATGATGATGATGACGATGATGATGTGACGACGATGATGATGA